GTGTCCCCTGCCACTGGCTCGGTGGGGGTTCCTCCCCACAATGCGTCGAGCCCTCAGGGGCTTTTCCAGCTCCCTGCCCTGGGTTGCTTCCTACCCCCTGCCCCTGGCCCAGAGTGGTCCCACCTGTCGGCGTGAGTCGGGTGGCTGTAGTGGCACTTCCCCAGTCAGCGTTGGGGTTGGCGGTGGCCGGTCCAGTGCCTGGGTCACGGGGGGTTGGCTGGCTGCTCCATTGTTGGGGTCGAGCCTGACTTGGGCCTGGCAGCAGCAGGGTCAGCAGGCCTGGCGACTCCCTCTCTGGTGGTCCGGTCTGCGACTTGGGCGGTTGGGCGCTAGCTCCAGCTCTGGCCGTGGTCTGCCCCTTCTGAGCAGGCCTGCATCCTCTTGTACTTTGGCTTCCCTGGGAGCATGCCTAGTCAGGCTGTGTGGGTGGGGCCCTCTCTGCTCCCGGCACCAGGTAGTTTCCCTGGGCATGAGTGCGGGGCAGGGCCGCCCCCGTCACAGATGTAAACATGAGTGAGCAGTCAGAATTATAATGAATAGAGCTGTGAAACAGTCAGTAAGGGCCTGGCATCCAGTATGAGACAGGATACTCACAGCAAGTTTTAAATCCAGACATACAAAGTGTATGGTAGTACAAATACATGCACCTACAAATGATACTGACAAAGATGATAAAGACAGTTTCTATACAGAACTAGGAAATGTGGTAAAAGGAATACTGAGCATAACTAAGTGCCCATTATTATTGGGGACTTCAGTGCCCAGATTGGAAAGGATCGGGGAGGTTGGGAAGCAGTTATAGACCCTCACACCATTAGAACATTGTCAAGGAATGGTATTAGAGTCCTAGAAATTTGTGCGGAAAAAAATCTTCGTATTTGCAAATCATATTTTCAGCACAAAAACATTCACAAAAAGACCTGGGTATCACCAGATGGTTGAAAACAGAACAAAATAGACTCTCTCTCTCTCTCTCTCTCTCTCTCTCTGGTTCTCTCTCTCTCTCTCTATATATATATATAGTCAAAGATGGAAAACATATTTGATCGTGCTAGAGTTTTTAGAGGAGCAGACATAGGTAGTAACTACAATTTACAGAAGGCAAGCATTAGATTAAACCTAAAAAAAGCTGGTAATAATAATAAATACAAATAATTAGTCACTTTCAGTGGTATCCTCTGTGAATTGAGAGAGATTTATATATGCCTATTTTTACAAAAAACTTTACTAAATTTTTTGTAGGTATGAGATTTTTATCCTGTCAATACATGGGATAAGTGTGGTCATCCAGCCTGTTTTTTTTCCATCGCCAGCTTCTGTGGTCCTGCATAGTAACCACAATCTGCTTTTTCATTTCCTTCGCTTTTTTTATTGTTTGTTAGTTCAGACAGTTACCAGATGTTGCTGCATGATACGGCCAACAAATTGTTGTTTTTTTTTAAATTACAAAATCATTAGTCGTGTTACAATTTTGTAAGCCTAATTGGTGAAGTACATTAACAAGATTGCCGAACTGTGTAATCATCCTTAAGCACACTGGTCCCAAGGTGCCCTCTATGTTTACAGGGATCTGAATCTTCCACAGGTAATTTGGACACGTTTCTATTGTATATTTCTATTGAAAACAAAATGTAGCTTCTAAGTTATTTTCCACCAATAAGTTGCTTAAAATGTTGACAACCATTATAAATACCATCTGCTTGGGTTGCTGATGTGTATAGGTAAACATGGGAACTTCTTTCTATAAGTTTTCAACTTCTAAATATTAATCTGAAGTCTATGGGGGTCCCTTAAACATATGTTTTTTTCAAATATGTTATTGTTTCAAAACTTTTCTTAATTAAATAGTACTGGCAAGAATCCAGAAAAATCAAGAATATTGGCACACACTCCAATGAGAGCAGGAGACTGGGCATTCAAGATGCCAAGCAGCTTTTTGCAACGTTCTGTAAGTACTTAACATTAATTAAAAACCAGCAAATTCCATTTTAAGTTTTTGCTCCAAATCTTTCCTGCACTAAGACTGTATGAAAGAGACCTAACATAATGTTGCTGAGCTACTGGAATTCAACAAACATGCCAACCTTAATTTCTGATCAATCTTGTAACTTGGTACCAAGGGTAATAGGCCAGTTTTTGCAACGTTCTGTAAGTACTTAACATTAATTAAAAACCAGCAAATTCCATTTTAAGTTTTTGCTCCAAATCTTTCCTGCACTAAGACTGTATGAAAGAGACCTAACATAATGTTGCTGAGCTACTGGAATTCAACAAACATGCCAACCTTAATTTCTGATCAATCTTGTAACTTGGTACCAAGGGTAATAGGCCAGTCTTTATCTGTATAGCCACATTCCTGGCTGCACCCCAGCCCCACAAAACTGTATAATTGCTAAGGACCGAAAACTATTTGAGTACATATTCATTCTCTTCCAATCAACAGAAGATCTTCAAATTCCATAGCTTGCTTTCTTGGTGACATTGTGTTGTACTTCATTTGCTTCATTGTTCTATGTTCATTCCATACACGTGTAGCATTCAGTTGGCATCCCTCTTAAATTTTGTTGAACAATATAAAACCTGAAATGAAAGATGTAAACACTTTCCTGTATGAAATGGTGATTGTCTGGTGAATACATATGTTTTATATCTACAGTGTGTTGCACAGCAACGGAGGCCTGGGGGGCCATGCGGCAGTCTGGCCGGCACTGAGGGCAGGCTGTTCCAACTCCACTCGTTCGCCTAAAGCCCCACCTTTTCCAGGGTCACAGAGGTGGGCCTCCCCACTCTGCCCAGTGGCCGACGAGGCTGACGTCCCTGCTGTTCTTAAAGTAAAAACAGGATGGTCAGGGGCTTGTCTGAGCCACCTGCCCAATACCTCCCGGGGCTGGGACTTATCCTTCTCACTCTGTGCCACCTGCATCTGAGACTGGGACTGAGCTCACTTCCCCCTCAGCTCTGCGCTGCACACAACAGGGTGTCCACCCTCCCCAACCCTGTGCTGCCCACAGCTTAGGCTGAGGCGGACCCCCCTCCCTGGACCTCTTTTGCCACTTGCAGCTGGAGCTGAACCTCTCGCAGCTCCCACTGCCCATGGCTGGGGCTCTCCCCGCTCCCTTGCTCCCTAAATCCTGTGCCACCCATGGGTGGAGCGGATTACCGCCCCCCCAATTCTACACCTCCCCCGACCGAGGCTCTGCACCACCCATGGGTCAGCTCTAGCAGCAAATTTCTCTGCTTTCCTGCTGGTGGGCTATGCTGCCTTCATCTGAGTCCCTGCTCTGCCTTGCAGCTGAGACAAATGCCAGGTTTTGACAAAAAAGTAGGGCCAGCTGGGAGAGTAATAAGAAAAGGGGCTGTTCTGGTAAAAACGGGACATAATGCTACCCTAGCCAGCCCACGCCCTATTGTACTCCTGGGATCAACCCCCATGCATCATGCTATATTGCCCCTAGACAGCTGCTCACTCCGGGGGGGGGGACCCCATAGAGACAATGGGTCTGGCAATCTCAGCCTCCCCGTACCAGTCTCTCTTCCCCTGCAGTATGACATGTCCCTGAAGTAAAATCCACCCTCCCAATAAACATGGGCTCACTCAGCTGAAGGGAGCCCACCTAGCTCCCTTTCCTGCACAGAGGCCATAAAGTGACTGATAAGGTCAGCTCTGTATTACTGTAGTTCAGAAAAATGAGCATGGCTATTGTGATGTGTGAGAACAGCTTTGCACATCTCCTGCGGTCTCAGCAAAGGGGGGTTGATTCCCAGTAACTCACCTGATGAAGATGCTGCCTGGCTCATCCCTGGTAACTCACAGACTGTACCTTGAGCAAGTCCAGCCACAGAGGGGATTGACATGTTGCTAACTGGTTAATCCATTCCGGTGACCTGGACACAGGTTGGCACAGAGAGTGCATTCATTGATAATTCAGGGAGAATCACATGCAGGCCTGAAAAGTTGATAACTGGATGATGTATGTGAAGCAATGGGGAGATATTACCATTTAGCTCTCCTAGCAGAGCTCCCATTTGTGGATCAAGGAGTTTTTGCACCGAATATCAGCTGCATTGGTTTGCAACTCCCAATGGCAGTGTGTCTGATGCTTCAATGGTATAAATTAGGCAGAGTTCCACAGTTGTCTATGTGCAACAGCAAATCAACCATAGGGCAGACAAAGACTCCTTTAAATCTAATGATGAAGATGGGATACAGAGGAGCTGGAGTCTGGTTGGCAGATGGAGCTGGTTCAGAAATGTTTCTCTTTTCCAGTTAAAAAGTTCCTATTTAAAGAAAACAAAGAAACAAAAACATTGCTGAGATTTTTCTTTGACATTTTTGGGGGATTTCATTGCAAGACCAAAAATTTTGGTCAAAACTGGGCTCTTCCATTTCACCAACAAAGCCACTGTATTCTGAAAAAAGAAGTTGACAGAATATTTGAGCTGCTCTGTCAGCATATACGATGCTCCTGAATTATTCATGACTGAACTAAACTCTTTGTAATGTAGAATGAGCCGCAGGAAACCTTTTCTGCAAATATTCATTTGAATTGAAAACAAATCTCTATTCCAGCGGTCTGTGAACCTGCTCATGCTCATATATTCGCTGTAATCAGCTTTTAAATAGTATATTCAGGTGCAGAATTCATTCTTGTTGGTATGCAGTGTATGACTTCACAGACACTATGGCTACGGCTACACTGTGACTTTTTCCGCAGGAGGAAGCACGGATTAGCATTTTCTCGTGCTTCATTTGCATACTGTCTTTCATTCCATTTTTATGCTAGGGGTTTTTGCGCAAAAACAGGCAGTGTGGCTGTGGTCATTTTATGCAAAGAGGATAGGCATAAGGATCGTGCAGAAAAAGGGGGTTTTGCACAAAATGGCCATGGCCACACTGCCCATTTTTTCACAAAACCCCCTAGCGCAAAAACAGAATGAAAGAGAGCATGAAAATGAAGCATGGGAAAATGCTAATCTGTGCTTCATTTGCATTGCCTCTTGTGGAAAAAATAATAGCGTAGACAAAGCCTATAGGCAGAGCTCGACAAACTGCGGTGTGAACTATTCGCCAGCCCTGCACCGCACATGCGCCAGACTGGCACTGCACATGCGCGTAGTGCTGGTGAATGAGGTACACAGAGCGATCAGCTGAAATCTACTCGCCATGGGCGAGTAGAAACAGCAGTTTGTCGAGCCCTATGTATGTAGCAGCTCCGATCCAAAGTTCTGAAGACTGTAAAATGAGAGAGGGGATATCAATGAGTTTGCTGTTCTGAGAAACACTCTTCATGGATCATCACATTATATATCTAAGAGAGTTTGTCTGTCTGTCTGCCCAAGAACTCGTCCTAACTGGTAAGAGCTTAGACCACTGAATTCAGCATACAGCTTCCTCTTATCATAACGTAAAGCTAAATAAGGGTTTGGTTGTGCCAGGAAAATGGGATTACTTCTCATAGAACCATATAGAAGAGAGACAGAATCACCAGGCAGGTGAAAGGGGCTGGCTAGGAAGTGCCCCCTTCCATCCAGGACTGCCCTAGCTCCAAGCCTCTCATCCTCCAGGTGCCCTTTAGGGAGGGTGGGGGGCTGAAGCTCTCCCCCACCCCCAGATTCGTATGGGGACATGACTAGCTTTTCCCCTTTGTCAGGAAGCTAGGGGAAAATGCATAGTTTGCTTCATTCCTCACTCTGTCTGAGGATTGCAGGGGGCAGATGAGCTGTGCACTTTGCTCTCCATCTCTGACAGGGACAGGAAAGGGAAGAGCAAAGGGCCCTGGTACAAATCTTGGGGGTACTTCCCCCCCCCCAGAATCCCCTGCTCTTGGCTCCTCTGTGTCCCCAACCCTGATTCCCGCACTCCTCACATCGTCTGCCCATAGCCCCTCCTTAAGGATCCAAGCAATTCTGAGTAAATGTTCTAGTTGTTCGTAAAGAAAGACCACAGGCTCAGTTTGGTGGTGAAGGCATGGTATATGTACACTAGCACGTGTATGCTAGTGGTACAAGCTGAGTCAGGATACCAGGATCCTGTCCCCTACGCCAGAACAAAGATACCCCTCCTATGACTTCTCCTTTTACACTGATACAAACAAGGTTATGTATTACACTCCTGATGTTAGTCATCACCTGTATCCTTGTACCCACTAGCTAGAACAGAACATCATCATGCATCTCGTCCTTATCTTACAAGGGGTCAGTGTGCTCTTATGCAATCTCTTAAAGTGTTTACATAGTTCTTTGAGAAATGTGGGTGTCTTTGTATCATTCTCTCCAGTCAGGAATGTGCTTTCTTGGGGCATGTCTTCATTACCCACTGGATTGACAGACAGCAATCGATCCAGTGGGGATTGATTTGTCGTGTCTAGTGTTCTTTCTCTTCTTTGCAGTCACCTCTTTCTATCACCTTTCTATTTGTGGATCCGTAGATGGCTGACCAGCCCAATTCTGGAGCCACAGTCTTATCGCAGAAGGGGCAGATGCTCATGGCTATTGAAGGGATGCAGGGCAGTTTTTGCTGCTCTTTTCTCCTTCTCTGCCTCGCCTCATCTGTGCTGTGTTAGGACTTCTCAAATTGCATCACCCCCTCACAGATTACCACTCTCAAATGGGGATTGGCCTGGGCAAAATTCTTCCAAGTGTCTATAATGATGCTGCAACTTTTTCATGTTTGCCTTCAACATGTCCTTAAATCGCTTCCTCTGCACCCAATGCTCCTCTGTCCTTCTTTCAACTCAGAAAACAAAATCTGTTTTGAGGGACACTGATCAGACATCTGGACCACATGTCCAGTTCTGCAAAATTGTTGGTAAATGATGATAGCTTCAATGCTGGTCATGTTTGACTCTTCCAGGATGCTAGTTCTCATTGTTAGGCCCTAGAGAATTGGGCCCAGTGCAGTTATGTTAAGACAGATCAAGGAAAGAGGTTAACAAAGGTTTCTGGGTAGTCCCTGAGCAGAACTAGAAATATGGCTCAAGCAAGGGGCAATCCCTACATACTTGCTTAAGTTGCAAAATAAAGTAAGTGAAAGGCTGCGCCTATGATGGGAACAGCTAGTTTGAGAACTGATAAGGTAACTCCCTGTTTCTGTTCTCACCCTGATCTTAACGAACTGTCTCTGCCCTCTGTTGTTTTAACTCCCTGTCTCCTTGTTGTTTGGTACTTGCCTTCTGAGCTGATAAGAAAGCTGTTGACGCATTATGAATTGTTTAAGGCCATGAAGTATACACATTAACACTAGAAGCTTCTAACTAATTAAGGGGGGGCTGAGATGCTTGGGCAAATGTTTTATGACGCGACGGAACTGTCTATATAATCTTGTTACTGAAATCGTGGCTGGTTCACTTGGGAGATGGGCTGCTCTCTATTGTAGTGTGCACTATTCAATATGGGGTGTATGGGGTGTTCAGGGAGAGGTAGCACCTCTGATGTACGGGCATGTCGTGTCCTTTTAGGGCAGCTCGTCCACCTTTGGTCCCCACTTGTCACTCAGCTCTCACCTGTGGCTCCTAGTAGCTGTAGCATGTGCAGCGGCCACACCCCAAGCAACAGCTTCGACAGGCTGGCTAAACCAGGTTGAGAGTAGCCGTCGGGTCATCGACCTTCGGTGAGATAGGGACTTGTCTATCCCGAGCATGTGAAGACAGACTCCGGCGGATTGAGCGGATGAGACCTACTAGAATAGGACCAACGGTCATGAAGGTGGTTTCTGCAAGCGATGTGGTACGCTAAGAGCACGGCAAGACATGAAAGATGCCCTGGTCAACCACTGCGCCCAGCCCATCTCCAACCGTCTCGACTTTAGTCCTGCCATTGGAGTAAGATGGAATCTGGGAAGAGAGAGTGAGGCTGACTATGCGCACCTCTCCCTCACTTTAATCCAATTCACGCGCAAGTCTTGACATCTCGACATCTCCTAAGTCCTGTGGCGACGGGCGAGCGACGAAGCAGCAGGTGTGGATACACTGGGAGCTGTAGCCGCGGACCTGCACACAGGCGGCTCAGGTCTAATGGTCGTCTTCTTGCTGGTGGAAGCAACAGCTGGATTCGGCGTCTACCTGAGTGACTGAGCAGCCCTCTTTAGGATTGCACTGCTCACCTCCGTAGTAAGAGGAAGGGGCTAGAAAAGGTGCCCTAAACATTGTTTGCTTCACAGAACCCTGGCCAGCTTACCGCGGCTGGAGGGGATCCCATCTCATGCGGTCGAACAATAAAATTTCGAACAAAATGCAAGGTGACACCACTCACTATTGGCACATGGAATGTACGCACGCTTCAGGACAACCCTTCAGCAGACCGACCAGAAAGAAGAACAGCCTTGGTCGCCAGAGAGCTCACAAGATTTAACATCGATATTGCGGCACTGTGTGAAACTCGTCTAGCAAATGAAGGTCAGCTCATGGAAACAGGAGGTAGTTACACTTTCTTCTGGCGTGGACGCAGCGGTAACGAACGTCGTGAATCTGGAGTTGGCTTTGCGGTTAAGAATCATCTTGTCCGCAAACTTGCCAGTCTTCCCAAGGGCGTGAATGACCGACTCATGACACTGCATCTTCCACTACCGAGAGGAAAGCAAGCCACACTGATCAGCGCTTACACACCCACAATGACGAATCCGGATGAAGTAAAGGACAAGTTTTATGAAGATCTCGATGCCCTACTCTCATCCGTGAAGCGCACTGACAGGCTGATTCTACTTGGCGATTTCAACGCGAGAGTAGGATCTGATCACACTGCCTGGGATGGCGTCATTGGAAAAAATGGAATCGGTAAATGTAACAGCAATGGCCTACTATTACTGAAGACATGTGCGGCTCATGATTTGATCATCACCAATACCATCTTCCGCCTGCCCACTCGCAAAAAGACGTCCTGGATGCACCCACGCTCTAAGCACTGGCATCTCATTGATTATGTCATTGTGCGGAGGAAAGACAGACAGGATGTAAGGGTGACCAAGGCCATGCCGAGTGCTGACTGTTGGACTGACCACAGACTTATCATCTCCAAATTAAGCTTTCGCATCAAGCCAAAGAGACGTCCGCAGGGAAACAAAGCTGTGATGAAAAAGATCAATGTCAGTAGACTGAGGAACCCCAACACAGCAACTTTACTAGCAGAAGATCTTGGCAACCAACTTTTAGAGCTGCAATTAGAGGAAAATGCTGAGAAGGACTGGGAACGCTTCCGGGATATTGTGCACTCTTCTGCACTAAAGGTTCTTGGACCCTCACACAGGAAACAGCAGGACTGGTTTGATGAAAACGATGAAGAGA